TGCACTGAGGCAATTAAATGAGCCCACCAAAGAAATAATTAGTGGCAATAAGACAGTCTTTGAAAGTTTGTCGCCTTTTCAATATAGAAGTTGCGCTACTCTTACTAGGCAGGTAAGTACTTCAGAGCGCTTCCGAAAGTAGGCGCTCATTTCAGGGTCTGACACATAGTTACCAAGTGTTGTGTCGGCATGTTGCCTGTCAAAATGCTGTGTTTCTTTGTGTACCTCTCTGAAACAGCTAGTTATCGATTGAGCAAGAAGTAGCTCTAGTGTTACCTCTCTGTTGTAACGTTATTATCAGTCTGAGCCAGCCTGCATGGACAGGATACGTTTCATTGCACAGAGTGGCAGATCAGCTTGATTTTCTGCGTGGCGCACAAAGTGAGCTGCGTGAACTACCTCGGAGCATAGTACGGACCTCGGTAGGACCCATGCATGGTCATAACAGGCACGACAGTGCATGCCTGCATCACGCTCAGTTCAGTGGTTTAAGCACTAGATAATGCCTTTATGAAGTCGAAGGAGGTTTTGAGAGACAGAACGAATTCTTTTGAACTTCGTGACCCGATTCGAAGCGGCTTACCTAAAAAAAAGGCTTACCTAAAAGAATAAGGTGGTGAAGCACAACCGCTGAACATTCGCCGTTTTTTGTTTTGTGAAAAAACAGCTCCAATCCACCCGAACACACACGGAGCCAGAAGCAGGCCAGAAGTACGAAGATTAGAAAAATATTTGTACTACCCATCATTACCATGCTCACTGAAGTGCCGTGCGTTTCAGCTTCCGTAGACACTAGCAACAGAGTTCCCTCTAGTGTATACTAGAAAACTCTATGCCCTGCCGGGTAGCCTACCGGGGCTCAGCCTAGGCTACCCGGGTAGCCTACTGGGGCTGAGCTACCGGGGCTGAGGGTAGCTCAGCCCCGGTACCGAGGTTGTCTACCGGGGCTGAGGGTAGCCTACCGGGGGTCAGCCCCGGTAGGCTACCCTCAGCCCCGGTAGACGACATCGCATGGTGGCGCCCGCTCTAATCTCCTACACGTACTTTGCCCGGCTTAGAGAAGAGGAGCGACGCTTCCTTTTCTGCCAATCGATGACACCCTTATTTCGCGGTGGCGAAAAGGGGAGAATCGTACGTCTTGGCTGCCCTCGGGCTTTACCTGGAACGATTCTGCTGTAGATACCGGGCGCACAAAAGTCACTGCAATCGTTGCACATTGTCCGTTTGCGAAAAGGGCACACTTTTCAGACACAGCGAAGTAATAACTGAGACGCTCATTCGCGTTAATCTGTACATGTGAGTACGTTTCGTGCGCATTTGTGCGTGAGAAACGGGGGCACGTTTCGATCTGCTTTTTATTCTGCCCGTGATCTTTGAATTTGTTGCTATCGCGTTCATTGCTTCGCTTTTGCGGCAAAGATGTGATTTTTAAATGCGAAGCATTTCTTAGCGATCTTCGGCGACTTTGAGCGTATCTATCTAGCCTCCTTCGACTTTTAGCTCTCCTGGTCGTTTCGATAATGGTATCGATACCAAATTTGATATGGCATAACATGACTGTATTAAAAATATATTTGACTAGTCATAACATGAAAATCACAACATGTATGTCATGAATGTCATGATTTACAGTTCATGGTCCTGCAGCTCTTGCGGTGGTTTCGTTCACATGACATGCTGCAAAACTGGTATGGTCTGACATGATTGCATGGCGAACATAGGTGATAGACCCTAACACGAAAATCATGATACGCATGTCATGTAACAACATGACTACTCTCCACGTTCATGATGCACTCGTAGCTATTTCGCTAGCGTCACATACACCAAATTTAGTACTACGGTACGTGAATGGATGACGAAGGTACGCGACTGGTGCAAACATGATAATCATGAGATGCGTGTCATGTAACAAAATGTCTACATCTACGCTCACAATGCGATCGCGGCCCTTTCGCTAGCTTCGCATGTAACGATAGATGGATGGATTGATATGGCTGTACCCTTTAGATCGGGTGGTGGCTAGCGCCACCAAGCCGTAATACTTAGTGAACCAAACTCTAGATTTTTTTTCCTTTAAATAGTGAGGTTGAGGACTCGTACTCTGCAGTGAAAGACAATCCTGGTCCGACGTCCGGAGCTGCATCGGCCTATGTTCCTACTTTTGTCGTTTTGTGAAAAACTTCGCTGACGTTGTCAGGCCACTCACATATTTGCTGAAGAAGTATACCACATTTTCATGGGGCCCTGAGCAGGCTCAAGCGTTCACCGCTCGCATCGGCTGCTTAACTACGCCCCCTAGACTTGCCCGCTTTAATCCTTCTGCTGCCACAGAAGTTCGCACCGACGTCAGTGGCCACGGTATTGGCGCAGTTCTCGCTCAGCGGCACCACGGCAGACAGTGCGTGGTAGCTTTCGCCAGTCGCCTGCTTTCTCCCCCTGTGAGGAATTGTTCCATCACCGAGATAAAAAGTTTACCTTTAGCTTCGGCCGTCGCCAAGTTCCGGCCATATTTATATGGTCGCATGTTCTCCGTCGTTACAGACCACCACGCCCTCTGCTGGCTGACTTCTCTGAAGGACCCGACTGGACGTCTGGGTCACTGTGCTCTGAGGCTCCAGAAATTTTCGTTTAGCGTCAGCTACAAGTCTGGCCGTTTGCACAAGGACGCAGACTGTCTTTCTCGTCATCCGGTGGACGCTCCTGATCCCGTTGCGAATGACCTGGAGAGCAGCGTGATGGCGTTTACTGATATCAGCGAGATGCGCATTCAACAACGACGGGATGAGTCAGTGCGCAGTATCATCGACGCCATCCAGTATGACAGCCATGACGCCTAATCGCGTACGTTCGTGCTACATGACGGCATCCTCTACCGCCGCAACGTCGACACTGAAGACCCTGAGATTCTGCTTGTCATTCCCCCTCATCTACGGCCTGCCATACTTGAGCAAGTTTACGACGCACCAACAGCGGGAAACCTCGGTGTTTTCCGCACATACGACCGCGTGCGACGTTGGTTCTTCTGCCCGGGACTGTACCGCAGCGTGCGTCAATATGTCGCCACTTGCGACCTCTGCCAGCGCCGGAAAATACCTTCTTTGCTGCCAGCTGGACAGCTTCATCCAATCAAAGTCCCCTCTGAACCATTACGTCACGTGGGACTCGACCTTATTGGCCCTTTTCCGATGACGACACTGGGAAATAAATAGATCGCCGTCGCCACATGATTATGCGACCCGTTACGCGATAACGAAGGCCATGCGAACCAGTTGCGCCACTGACGTCACGGATTTTCTTCTTCATGACGTCATCTTACACGACGGTGCACACCGACAGCTGCTTACAAACCACGGCCGCTCTTTCTTATCCAAAGTTGTCGACGACCTCCTTCAATCGTGTGCTACAGCGCATAAGCTATCTACCGTCTACCACCCACAATGGCCTATCTGAACGTCTCAACCGCACGCTCACAGAGATGCTTTCGATGTACGTCTCCGAACATCATCGTGACTAGGACACCATGTTGGCCTATGTGACTTTCGCACACAATTTCTCTCGACATGGCACCACAGGATTCTCACCTTTTTATATTTTGTATGGTCGTGACCCCATATTGCCATCCTTACCTCTCAAGCCATTGATCAGTCTCACATGGCTCAAGTTACCCTGCCACGTCTCAACAGGTCACAGGATATGCGAAAAGCCCACTACGACCACCGGCATCGTAATATAACGTTTGCCCCGGGTGACCGCGTGCTCCTCTGGTCACTGTGTCGCTGTGTAGGCCTCTCTGAAAAACTTGTGTCCTTATACGCAGGGCCCTACATAGTCTGACGTCAAGTTAGCGACGTCAACTACGAGATAGCGCCATTGCACTCCAATACGTCCCCAAGTTCGTCACTTGTTGACATTGTCCATGTTTCGCGCATGAAACTCTACTTCTGTCGAACTTCTCCGGACTCGTGCCGAGACGGCGCTCCAACGCCCGGGGGTCCTGTTACGGAGATGAAGTAAAGGAAGAGGAAGGACAGGATCAGCTGACAGGCACGCGAATGTGCCAATCAGCCATTGTGATTCCTGCCTGAGGTTGTTCCTCTGTAAATGAGTTTGTACAGAAGTCACCAACCCAGCTCAAGCTCAGATCAAGCTCTGATCAGGCCTTCACTAGAGTATGCGTCAACCATCTGGCATCCACACACGGCAATGTTATCTGATATGCTAGAATCGGTACAAAATAAAGCAGCTCGGTTTATCACCTCCTGTCATTCTCGCCACCAAAGCGTTTAACATGTCTTCAGCGTTCTCTGAACCTTCCATTGCTTGCCACGCGCAGAAAGTTGTCCCGCCTATGTTTTTTCCATAGTTTATATCATAGTGACTCGTCATTTTCCCGATCATTCATTCACCCGGCTCCCTACGTTTCTGATCGCGTTGGTCATGCACATAAGGTCAATCCAATATATTCACGCACTAAGAAATACCAATTTTCACCTCTGCTGTTATCCATTAACGAGTGAAACGCGCTGCCCTCAAACATCGTCGCTATTACAGAACCCTCCCTTTTCCAGTCTGCAGTACTAACTTACTTAGAAGTTGACAATAATTTGTAACCACCATTGACATTTAATGTGTAACGCATGCTTAGAGAATGTTTATTGCTATTTCATGAAATATGTTTCCTGTTATGGTGAGCTGCTTACTGTGTTTTTTGCTTATTGTGTTATTAGTAATGTTGCTTGGGCTATCGGTCAGTTTGATTACTAGTATTACTCCCTGACATGTTGTTTTACTGATGCTATAGAAACCTCTTGTATGTATCCCCCCTTATGTAATGCCGTCTGGGCTCTTAAGGTATTTAAATAAATAAAAACCCCGTAACATTATCAATGCGCAATAAACATTCAGCTACTTTTGTCGAAACAAGTTTAATTTTCGTGTTATAACGATTCCTGTGGCGAAGAAATCAACCGTGTTTTCTTCCTTTCTCTACACCACAG